GTGAACCCGGCGTTGGTTGCGATAGCTACTGGCATCGGCCTGCTTACTGACAAGTACATGCTGGAGGCAACGAACTTTGTCGAGCACTACGCCGAGAACATGAAGTCGACCCCCGCGCAGCACTCCTTCATCAAGTCCGCCATGTACGCGGGCGCCATTGCGGGCATGGTGAGCTTCGGGCCGCTGTCCGACATCTTGGGGCGCCGAATCTGCCTCATCCTCTGCTCCGTGATCACACTGGCTGGAGCTCTGCTGAGCACCTGCGCCTGGAGCGTCGATTGCCTGATCGTCGCGAGGATCATCACGGGCGTCGGTATGGGCGGCGAGTACCCCCTAGCCTCCACGCATAGCGCCGAGTCCTCCAAGGACTCGAACAACGGGGCCCGGAACGTCGCCCTCCTCTACCTCTTCGGGTCAGGTGGCGGCCCGGCGCTGTGCGACCTGGTCACGTACCTCTTGGGTGTTTCTAGAAGTGCCGCTGGCCAAGCTGCCCCCAGGATTTCCATGGAGCCCCCCCCCCCCCGCGGCCTCCGGAGAGCCCCTCACGAGGCCCAGAGGGCCCCATGGGCTTTAGAATGGAGCGAAAAGCTGGGGGCCCCTTCGGCCAGGGGCGCCTTGAGCAACCCCCGAACTTCCTGGACCTCTCCGGCATGCCGCACAAATACGTCTGGCGCTCCATCTTCGGCATCGGCGCAGCGCTGTCGCTCGCTGGGCTCGTGCTTCGCTACAAAACCACCAGAGACAGCAAGAAGTTCATTAAGGCGCACAAGCGGGACAAGGGCGCCAGGCGGAAATTCTTGGGGGCCTACTGGCAGCCCCTTGTGGGAACCGCCTTGGTCTGGCTGCTTTTCGACATAGTCGAGTACGGCCTCAAGCAGAACGACGCTGCCATCTTTGCGGCGGATCATTCGGGTCCCTACCGCAACAGTATCCTCACTGTGCTCATGACGCGTCTCCTTGCCATTCCCTCGCTTGCCGTTGCCCCCGTACTGCTGCAGTGGTATCCGAGCAAGTTTGTCCAAATTGGCGGTTTTTGCGGCTGCATTTTTGCAAATCTCGTCCTCTGGACTCAATATGGTTGGCTCAAGCAGGATGGCGCAGTGCATACTTTTCTCTTCGACGCCCTCTACATTGTCCAGTTGTCCTTCCAGAGTTTGCCCGGCGTCACTTCGATGGCCATCCCTGCGGAGATCTTCCCCAGTGCGGTGAAGGGCACCGGGGCGGCCATCAGCGCCGCCTCCGGCAAGGTCGGCGCCGTTCTTGGATCATATTATGGAAAACGCCTACGGCACATCGTCGTCCCTTGCCGTTTGGCAGCGCCTATGTGGCCGAACGTTGTGGCCAGAGCTCGGCCAAGCTATCGGATCATGTGTGCCCCCAGTCGTTGTGGAAACGCTTCTGGAAACATGTGGGGTAGAAAGAAGAGGATGAGAGATCTCTTCGAGCTGTCCTGGAGGCTTTCTCGGGGGCCTTTTGTGGGCATCCCGGGCCGTCTTGGGCTATCTTGGGGCCGTCTTGGGCCATCTTGGGTGTATCCTGGACCGTCTTCTTGCGGCCATCTTGCGCTCTCTCGGGGCAATCCTAGGCGTCTTGGAGGCATTTTGGAGGCCCTCTTCAGCCATCTTGGCCGTCTTGGAGCAGGAAGACTGACGATCTCGGAAGTTCATGGGTCCTTGTTGGGCGCCTTGGACGCCATCTTAGGCCCGTCTGGAGCGGGAAGGCATATTTGTTTGGGAAGTTTATGGGTCCTTCTTGGTGGCCAGCGGGCTTAGCAGAAGGCTCAGTGCGAGCATTTTGAGAAAAACTACCAACAGTCATTGAACAATTCAATCAGAAGCAATGATTGTGGTCTCCTGGAGGTCCTCTTACAACCCCCTCGGAGCGTCTTGAGGGCCATATTGGGCAATATGTGGGCCATCCTGGACCTTTTTGGGTACATCTCGGGCCGTCTTGGAGATACCTTGGTGCCATCTGGAACTCTCTTGACGATCATGGGGACGATGTCTAAATTTTCCCCCTCCTTGCGCGTCCTTGCGCGTTCTTGCGTGTCCTTCCAGGTGGCCGGCGGGTTGGGCCGAAGGTCTTGGGAACCTTTCAAAGCAACCATCAGCTACTGAACGTCTAGTAGCGAGACCTCAACAAGCATCCAAGAAACCTCTGACCCACAAGGGTATGGAGGCGGGATGGGCCGAAGGTCACTATATATGAATCATCACAACCAGCAGCGCTATAACCAGCATGACGATGACAATCATCAACCTGAGCATCATCATGATGATCCTCCTCCCCCTCCTCTTCCTCATCCCGTTCGTCCCCCTCGCACGCATCAATGCTCCTCCGCCTACTCCTCATCATCCTCGTCCTCGTCAAGCCTCCCTCCTCCTCTTCTCCTCATACTCCTCCTCTTTATCCTCGCCGTCCTCACCCTCATGTTCATCATCATCGTCATCACCACCGTCGTCAGCATCAGCGTTATCAGCATCATGATCATGCTCCTATCATGCCCCTCCTCCAGCTCCTCCTCCTCCTCCTCCTCCTCCTCCTCCTCCTCCTCATCAGCATCATCATCATCCTCGTGTTCCCCTCGTGCTCCTCCTCCTCCTCCTCCTCCTCTCCCACCCCCGTATCCTCTCACTCCCCTCAGGGCGGCGGCGCGCGCGCGAAAGAGCCCGATGACGAGGACGACTGACGAAGAGGACGGCGAATGACGAAGCTCGATGACGAACCTCGATGACGAACTGCCGATTGGCGACCGACAACGATGACAACAAATGACGACGGATCACGGCGACGACGACGACGAGGCTTCTTAGAAGCAACCTTCGAAGCTTCAACTTCTGAGACACTTGTAAGATGCTTCCTCGGCCCTGAGATTTTTCAGCCGTGATTGCGACTGAATTTGCCGGGGCTGCCTCCTATTAGCCAGGGGTGGTTCGATTTCGCCGGAACTGGTCCCAACAACGGCCGCCCCCCGCCCCTACCCCTTCCCCCGCCCCCCACGTGGTTTGTGCCGGCTCCCACTCAGGTATGGCGCTATTCTCACAGGCGTGCTGTGGTGTTGACTGGCATGACCTGGTGCTCATAAACATGCTGTGGCGCTCGCAAGCATCCGGTTCGCCGGTAATGCCAACAACGCCAGGAAAGCGGTTTTGTTGCCGCTGCTGCTGCTCCTGCTGCTCCTGCTGCTCCTGCATCTGCTCCGATGCTTCTCCTGCTCCTCCTCCGGTGTTCCTCCTCCTCCGGTGCTCCTCCTGCTGCTTGTGCTGCTGCTCCTCTCGCTGCTCCTCCTGCTGCTGCTCTTGCTGTTGCTGCAGCTGCTCCTGCTGCTGCTGCTCCTCCTGCTGCTCCTCCTGCTGTTCATCCTGCGCATCCTGCTGCTGCTGCTGCTGCTGCTCCTCGCCCCTCCTCTGGCTGCCACTCCCTGCTCCTGCCGCCCCTCCAGCTGGTCCTCTGGCTTGGCCGCCACTCCTGCTGCTCTTCCCGTTGCTCCTCCTGCTGCTCGCGGTGCTGCTTCTCCTGCTGCTCGTTATGTAGCTTTTCCTGCTGCGCATGGCGTGTCTCGTGAGAATGAGGACTCTGTCGAGCACGTTCAAGGCAATATGAGCTGATGAAGATCATGAGGGGCCCATGCCCCTTCTGAGGCATCCCGGTCCTCGTCCGCCTGCCCCACTGGCCTGTAGCGTATTTAACTCGCAGCATCAGCTAGCTGAATCTGGTTTCAGTTGGGCGACGGACGAGAAACGGATCCAACTGCACCGACATTGGCGCGTAAGTTTTCCGCGTAAGGTCGCGCTGAAACGTTCTTGTCTCCAATGTGGCGTGCGGCGCCGGCGGTCCGCGTAAGCCACCGCGTAAGGTCGCTACGTTATCTCGCGTAAGACTCTTCTCTTGTCGTCGCTCAATTGTTGCCTGTACAAGGGGTTGACCTTTCAGGCCACGAAGGAGGCCTGGCTGAACTCTCAGTGTTTTACCCTTTCCTCGGTGGACGGTGCAGTTAAGAACTCCCCTCCAGGACAGCAGGTGCACGTCGTGTGTGTGTGTGTGTGTGTCACCAGACACCCACTTAGCTATCACGCTGAGCTGGGGATTTGGTTTTGTTCTGTCTGTGGGAGCTTTGTAGCTGAACAGCTGGCTAAATTGTCCAAGGAGTGTAATCCTAAGCGTAGCCGTCAAGACTTCTGAATCAGAATTCAACAGGGCCTACGGCCCAAACTCTCTGGCAGAGCCGAGCGAGCCAGGCGTGCCGCTGCGGGTAGACCTAGTTGAGGTTGCTCTTTGGGGTTCTGTGCAACTGACAGCCGCAACATTTGCAACTCCGCAGCTCCCGACGCCGCTGCTCCGCGCCTGCTCCTCCTCTTTTATAACTTCTGCTGCTTCTCCGGCTGCTTCTGCTGTTCTCCTCCCTGCTGCTGCTGCTCCTCCCGATGCTGTTGCTCTCCCGGCGCTCTTCGCTCCTGCTCCTCGTCCTGCTCCTCCTCCCCCCTCCCTCTCCTGCTCCTCCTGCTGCTGCGGTGCTCGTCCTCCAGTGCTCCTCCTCCTGCTGCCCTTTCTGCCGTTCCTGCTTGCTGCCCAGGTTCTCTGCCTTCCAGCTCCTCCTGGTCCTGCTCTCGCTGCGCCTCCTGCTACTCTGGTGCTCCTCCTGCTGTTCCCCTTGCCGCGCCTCCTTTTGCTGATCCTCCTGGTATTGCTCCTGCTGCTCCTTTTGCTGCTCCTGCTGCTCCTCCTCTTCTTCTGCTGCTCCCCCCCTGCTGCTCACCCTGCTGCTGCTGCTCCTGCTGCTTTTCCTCCAGCTGCTTCTAGTATTTTTACAACAGCAGCACATAATTACCACCACAACTACGGCTACGACTAGGACTACGATTATTAGATTGACCACAACGATTACGACTAATCATATTACGACTTCTAGACTAGATTTACCACTCCTGAAGCAACAGCTGCTATTATTATTACTACTACTACAACTACTATTACCGTTACTATTAGTACTAGTACTACTATTACTAGTACTCCTACTACGACTACTACTGCTACTACGGCTGCGACTACGAATACGATCACGACCACTACTACTACTACTACTACTACTACTACTACTACTACTACTTTTACTACTACTTTTACTACTACTACTACTACTACTTCTATCATTGCTACCCTTACTACTTCTACTGTTGCTGCTGTCACTATTTTCAGTAATACGACAACTACTACTTCTACTATTAATTCTTCGACTGCTATTACTATTAATATTACTATTACTACTTCTGCTTCTATCACTACGATCACTACGACTACTATTACTACTACGACTGTTGCTGCTGATGCTGCTGCTACTTTTTGTTTCAGTACTAAGACTACTTTTTTCCGTCTTGTACTACGACTACTATTCTCATTTTTGCCACTCGTTCTACTACTACTACTACTACAACTCGTGCTCCTGTTTCTACCACTTCTACTGCTACTACTGCTACGTCTGCGAATGCGACCACTACGAACTACGACGACCATTATTCTTACTACTACTACTACTACAACGAATACTATCCGTTCTACTGTTACTACTACTACTACTACTACTACTACTACTACTACTACTACTACTACTACTACTACTACTACGAGTACTACGATAGGTACCACGTCTTCTACTACTGCTACTACGACTATGGCAACGCTTACCATCACTGCCACTACTAGTATTACGGCTACGACGACTATTATCATTACTACTACTGTCACGACTATTTTCCCTGCTACTACTACTATTACTACTACTACGGTTACTACTACTACTACTACTACTACTACTACTACTACTACTACTACTACTACTACTACTACTACTACTACTACTACGGCTCTTACTACGCGCATTATTCGAATTATTCCCACCCGTGCTACTACATTTACTACGACTTTTACTACTACTACTACTACTACTACGACTACTACTACGACTACCATTACTACTATTACGACTACGACTGCTACTTTAGTCCTACTACTACTACTACTACTACTACTACTACTACTACTACTACTACTACTACTACTACTACTACTACTACGACTACTACGACTACTACTACGACTGCCACTGCAACTACTATTTCGAATGCTACTACTGCTGATTCTGCTGCTGCTGCTGCTGCTGCTACTACAACTACTGCCACTGATACTGCTACTGCTACTACTACTACTACTACTACTACTACTACTACTACTACTACTACCATTACTATTGTTATTGTTATTGGTATTTTTTATCATTATTATTATTATTAGTATTAGTATTATTATTACTAATACTACTGCTGCTACTACTGCGACTACTACCGCTACTACTGTTACTATTACTACTACTATTACTACTACTACTACTACTACTACTACTACTACTACTACTACTACTACTACTACTACTCCTGCTACTACTACTTTTATCAGTACGACTACTACTACGACTACGACTACTACTACGTTTGTTATTACTACTTTTACGACTACTACTACTACTACGACTACGATGACAACGACGACGGCGCCGACTACTATTATCACTAATGCTGCGACTACGTCTACGACTACGACTACGACGACTACTACCACCACAACAATGATTATTACGACTACGGCTACTACTACCACTACGAGCACCCATGATATTACTACAACTACATCTGCATCAACTACTACTACCACTGCTACTGCTACTGCTGATTCTACTGCTATATCTGCCTTTATTACCACTACTAATACGGCTACGACGATTATAATTAGTGCTACTACCCTCGATACTCCTCGAACCTCCACAGGAAATCAACGGGGTCCGAGGGGTCCGAGGGGATATTGACGACGTTGCCGTCGTCGCCGCCCTCTTTTTACCGCCGCCGCCGAGAGAGCGCATAGGGGAGGGCAGCAGTGATCACAAGGGCTCAAGGCGACTGAAACGGTCCGAGCATAAAAAGTCCATAGGACGCATCATGAGCTGTACGTGTACACATCTGTATACACAAGCACTTCTAGCCATATAGGCTGTCCTTTTCAGTGCTAAGATGCACGCTCGGACCTACACGTTGGCTCGCAGCGAGGCCTTCCACACTACTGCGAAAGATGCAGCCGGCTTTCGGCTGTCGAATCCTCTTGCCACTCTTCGTCTCGGCGGGTCGAAAAAATGTGGGTGCAGGATTCGCTCAAAACTCAAGCCTAGGTCCACCTAGGGCCCTAGTATCGGGTCCTCGTATCTCTCATCCCTGTTCGATCCTTTCGTTCCAGGTCATCTCGACTTTGGCGATCCTCCTCTTGGCCTCTGCACGCCTCTGCTTCTCCTTAGCCCACTCGGGTGTGTCCTGGTCTTTCAACACTTGGAGACGCGCCCTGCACTTTACTCTTGCACTGGTTGCTGCCCTGAGTCGTGAGCCACTCCGGTCCATGCTCACATGTATCCTGGTCCAGGATCGGGTGATTCTCCGTAGGCTTGACCGTCTCCTTGTCGTAGACGTGTTGCTTGACGTCCGTGGTCTGGCCTTATTCTTGGGAGCTGCCGTTCCTCGTGTCGGTGCTGTTGACTCCGAATTGCTTGTTATGCTGTCTGGAGTTGGGCTTGCCACGCCCTTCGCCTTGCCTTTGCCTTTCTCGCTGGGATGAAGATCTCGTCGTCCGCATGTTTGTGCAGCTAGCCTCGCACGTTTCCCTTGTCGCCGCAGACCGCTGTATAATCAACGGTATGGATTTGCCGTCTCCTTCAGGTGACGGTGTCGGTTGTTCTTTCTGTCTGTTTGCCTTGCAAGCTCGCGATCCACACTCGCACTGGTCCGCCGCCATACGGCACATAGCACACACCGCCATAGCAGCAGCCGCTGCTCCAGTCTGTCCCCTTCCAGATCTGTCCCCTTCACGATCAGGATCTCCTCCTCCGACCTCCTCCTCCTCCTCCTCCTCCTCCTCCCCCTCCTCCTCCTCCTCCTCCTCCTCCTCCTCCTCCTCCTCCTCCTCCTCCTCACACACCTCCTCCTCCAATCCTCTTCCTCCTCCTCCTCCTCGCAGCAGTTGTCGTCCTTGCTCTTCGCTGCGCGCTCCGCCTGCAGCGCCACGGAGCTGGGGCCGTCCGTGTCCAGTCGCTTGCCGCTGCCACCAGCGAGGGTTTGCCCCTGCATGACGTCGTCGCGCCACTCGATGAGTCCCTCCTCCGCGGGAGCGAAGACCGTGGTCGGCTTCTCGAGCAGCTCGGGCAGCTGCCGCCGTCGATGGGCAGCTCCGAGACGGTGCCGGTCGACCATGTCTTCGATGGTGCAGAACTTAGCAGGTGTCGTCCGCCGCCTGAGCGACCATCATGTTTCCACTTGAGGTGCCGCTTGGGCCCAACTTTGGCCAACTAAGCTCCGTATTAGACGTCGGCCAACGCCTCGGGCGCTCACGCCGCTCAACGACCGATATGTGCGCAAAACAGGGGCGCCACGATTGGAATGGGCAAGGATGCTGCTGCCGCACGCAGTGCGGGTAGGTGGAAACGGACAGCAACTACAGGAAGCTGTGCTGGATGCGCAGCATTGGCGAGAAGTCGTGAGGCGCTACTGCGCCGCCGCCGCCGACGCGCCGTAGGGCGTATGGCTCTTGCTTCCTTCCAACGCCTCGGTTGTAGTACGTGTAGCCATCCGTGACGTACTGCTGCCGCGCCGGTCCGACTCGCTTGGGGTACTTGGCCCTGTAGTGCTCGCCGCGCTCGCCCTTCGGCTGGTGCCTCGTCTCGGCCACTGCCTGGTCAGCCTTTAGGTTTTTCGGTGAGCCCGTAGTAGACCGTCTTCAGAGCGTAGCGCGTGTAAACAGCCGTCCGAGCGTCGCTATTGGTCAGACTGTTGGCCAACATCTGCCGGGTGTTTACCCACTTAGAGAGACCAGGTTCGGTTCCTCGATGTCGCTGCGAAGCGCCTCGATGTCGATTAGTATTCGTCAACTGGGAATCGTACCACGCTTGTGGAGTAGGTCGTAGAGAATTATACAATCCGTCAAGTATATCATCTTGATGTTCGCCACATGGTTTGCGTGAGTCCAATAGTCCAATTAGCAATGTACCTCCGCAAGATGAGCTCGTACCAGATCTCCACTCTCGACTGCTTCCAGTGCTGCCATAGACTCTGCCGTCAGGGTGCCACGACCAACTCGTTTGATACGGTGTGATTTCCATATCATCCGTTTGACCTTCGCCGGTTCGCCTCGGTCGAATTTGTCGTTCTCGTGGTCGGCGGTCAGGATGTTGAACCCGGCCTGGCTGGCTCTCTTGTTCTTGTCCACGGTCGCTAAGCTGGAGTCGCCGATCGCGACCGCCACCAATTTTTTTCAGGTCGGTGTTTTGGGATCTGATCTCCACCAGGTATGTCTTCGCGTCGGCGATCATATTCTTAATCATCATGATTTCCTGCGCGGTGCTCTCCGGTTCGTGAGCTCGCGTCTAGCTTTCAACCAGATTGAATGCGAGGTCCATCTTCGTCGGTCTGACTAGCCACTGCACTTGCCCGTCGACTCGATGCATCGCTTGACGCTCGTCTGCTGTGATCTTGCTTTCCTTCTGCTTACGTCGCGTCGCGCCCAACGGTATGCGCTCGATGATCTCCGCGTGTTCCTTCTGGGTGCAAGAGATGCGGCCTCGGTCGATCCGCTTGAGGTGCCTCCCGCAGTGGTGGAAGCCCTTCTCGATGCTGTGCCACTTGCCGCAGCAGTGTCTCTTCCTCGACGCTGGGACCCAGTTCTTGGAGAACTGGGGATCCAGCAATCAGATCGTCATCCACATGCGTGCCGATGAGCCCGATCCCTTTGCTAGACTCGTGCCTGAAGATGAAAAGGTTGTTGGGTATGGCTTGGATCGCGCATCTCATGGTGGTGATAGGACCGTGTCGCGATGCTCCTCGTGTCATGACAGCGGTGCGTCACTGAGTCCGCAGATGCCCTTCTTGGCCTGCAAGATGCGCCTTTGGGGATGCAGGGCCATCCCAGCTCGGGCACCGCAGGGAATCCGCCCTTGGTCAGGAGGGGAAAAAACACACAGACACAATCAATCGTCGATCTCCAGGAAAATCTGGGAAAATATGGGAAGTGGGGGGGGAAGACAAAAACCAAGAAAACATTGGAAATTATGGGGAACCCTTTTGTTTGTGTGTATTTATTTGTGTGTCCCAGGGCCCCTTCACTTGGGTTGTTTGAAGAACGCGCGTCTGGTCTCGTCCAGGCGACGGCCGTTCAGGAAGGCTAAGCCGGCGTCTCGTTGTTCGAGCGTCCAGTCTGGGTTGCTCGCCGTCTCCTGCAAGATGATGGCCGTCGCTGCGTCCGTCCGTGTTGGCGCATTCGTCTTCAACTCGCCTGTTAGGAGCTGCTTGTCCTTGTAGCCTGGTACGGTGTTCCTTGTCTTGGCCTGTAGTGGGTGGTAGTCGTATGATATGCTGCCATTCGTAGCCTCGTTCTTGTCCGTGTGGAGCTTGCGCTTGGGCAGCACTTCGGATGGGTCGATCGCCTTGAGACATTCGTTTGTTGGGAACCCCACCGTGTCGTACTTGATCCACTTCTCCCATTCGGCCTCGTCGGATGCATTGAACGTCGACTTCCACTCGGCATGAAGGTGTCGTAACTCCTTGCCCTTCTTGGCCAACGGTTGCTTGCTCCTGGCCTTCTCGGTTCTCCTCGCAAGGGACGCATCGTGGGTCTGGTTCCTGATGTAGACGGCGAGGTCTTCGTCGTCGTTGTTCGCGTCATCCACGGGGGCGTGTTGTGATTCATACCTCGTACCCTTCAGCTCCTTGCGCTGGTTCATGCGCTGTCGGTCCAGGTCGATGTCCTCCATGAAGAGTCGTTTCCGATCGCGTCGTGCTTCTTGGAGCTGGTGTCGATGCAGGGTGTCCTGGTGTTTCGGAGTATGCATGTGGTGCTGCCTTGATAGGCCCGGGTCCAGCTGCGTCAGCAGGTGGACTTAGTACTTCGGGATCATTTGGTAGGTCATGTGTCTGGTCCTCGCTTTTACGATGGGGTCGTCGTCTCGAGGTCCAAGCTGTGGTTCGTGGCGTCTGGCTGGTACTGGTGGTGGTGGTAGCGCACGTCGAGGTGCCAGTGCTCTTGGCGGTGACGCACGTATTGGCATGCTGTTCTCCATATCGACGTCCTCGTCAGCTCCGCAAGTCGCGTCGCCAACCTGGTCGGGAGGTGACCCTCATTCATCCACAAAGCCGCGGTGCATAGTAGAACCACCTAGAACCTTCCCTCTATTGACCTAGCTGCTTCACGAGATTCTGGCTCTCGATCATACCCGACTCGGCCCTGCTAGCGTGCCTGAACTGCTCTGGTGTGACCAGTATTGGCACTCCGCAGTAAGACTGATGACGTGTCCTCGCCAGCAACGCCCACCCTATAGTCGCTAAGATTTGACATGTTTCACCTCGCGCAAGAGGAAGTCCACTTGTCCTGGTAGGAAGGGACCCTGTGGTGGTCGAGCTCGCCCCAGAGCAGCCCGTCGTACTGCGTCGTCGCTGTCCATCTCGCAGAATGATCGACTTGCAGCTGCACGTGTCTGCTGTGCCCGTCGTGGTCCCGACTCGAATAGTGCTGAGCTACGTGCCGAGAGTCTCGTCTCGTCGCTTTCCATCGTCTCCGTGAGAGATGCGGTGGGCGACCGTCCGATCACGTAATGGTAGGGTATGAAGGATTTCCGCTTGATCTGGTTGTTGCAGGTATTGGCCAACGTGGCCTTCCATATTGTTGGGTCGTTCTTCTTGGTGATCTGGATCTCGCGGTTCACCTTCTGACAGTGATCCTTCAAGAAGTCGATGGTTCTCTCCACCCTGCTTTTGACGTGTGGAGCCTCCATTGGGGTTGGTCTCTTGAGGATGTCGTCTGCCGCCCGTCTTCGCGAATGCATATGTGATGCGGCCCTTCGCCGCGTCGAAGTAAAGTGTCTTGTGTGGACCATCCCATGATAGCCAGCCCTGCGTGAAGCACGTCAGTGCCTCCACGCCGGAGACGGATCGCACCGCGCTCGTCGGAACGATGACAATGAAGCTCGAGTCGTCGACGATGATGACCATGACCATCAGCCTGGTATCGTCTGAGAGTATGACCTCCACCTCGTCCAGGGGCACGTTCTCATCGAATTGTGTCGACAGCTTCAGATTTGCTGAGCGTGCCGTCGTAGGTCTGCCGAGTTCCCGACACGTCGAGCACCTCCAGCTTGTCAACTACATCTAGCACCTCCGCCGTCACTCCGAAGGTCTTGAGTCGCCTCTTCGTCGCGTGTGTCGTCGGGTGGCTGAGGTTCAGGTGTAGTTTCTGCAGTGCTGACCATTGTGCTTGAGTGACGTTGTCTGTCTTCGGGTCGCCCTCGTGCTCGAGGTTTTGAGTACAGCGTCAGCGTCACGGTCGTCAGCTCTGGTCTTGATGGTGTAGGCCTCCGCGATTTGGCGTATTGCCGAGTATGACGTCTGAACGATCACGATCGATCAGATAGAGACGTTGCTGTCCAGCCTCACCGCCTCTGGGGGCTTGCTGAAGCAGCTGCATCCCTTCCACACGTCTGCGACGTCTGCTGGCTGTCCCTGATCGTCGTGGGTGGCCGTGATCCGCCCGGTGGCGCTTACGATGTGCTTGACGCTGCCCTCGGCCTCCGCGATCTGGATGTCGATGAGGTCGCTGCGCACACAGAACTCCCTCGTCACCTTGCGCTGCCTCACAGGTGCCGCCTCGCTCTCGTCGATGGCCCTGCTCACCAGCTGGGCATCTCCTCATCACGATGCCAATCGTAGGGATTTCCAATTTTTTTGAGGGCGAATCCCTAAGATTGTCATCGCCTTTTGGCGTGTCAATCTTAGGGATAGGGATACGTTCGAGGCTGGTAACCTGCCCAGCCCGCATTTAGTGGGGTCCGTCCTGTAGGCGAGCTCGTGCGTGGCTGCACCGGCCACTCCTCGAGCGAGCGGCTCCGGCCACGCTCCTGCTGCTCCTGGGTTCTTCCCGCGACCAACCGAGTCCGCGTGTCGGTGGATCCTGTCGAATTTTATGGTGAGCCACCGACATCACCGTAGGTTCGTAGTCGATCAGCCCGTGCATGCACTGGTCCAGCCGGGTCGGCTCGTATTTGGCGTCGTCCCGCATTTTTCAATGCTCGAATGTCATCGTCACTAAATGCCCTGCTGGTCAATGGGTTCTCTGCCAATCCGAGTCGTTCTCCCGCTGCCTGAGCCTCAAGCAGTTGCGGCTTAGCCACTACCCGGAGCTCGTCAACCTGGCGCGATAATCCCTGTGCCCAGTGGCGTCCCTGCATGTTCGAGTGTGGTTTGCATGGGAACGATCGTGTTACCAGCCGTGGCTTGCAGTATTCGATCAACGGTATTCAATCGTCTCGTACCTTGGGTTCGCCGAAGTTGACGCCGCTGCTGAGGTCGGAGAGTGCTGCATTACGATGACCTCCTGCCGTGCTGGTCCTCGTGGGCCTCGCCGTGTTGGCGTACATTTCCCACGCGAACGTAGACGTGCCATCCCGTATGATGTCGAATATCGGCGGCGAGCGAGGGGGGGAAGTGAGAAGGGGCGGGCCTTCTCAGAAGGTTCGGAAGTCCCCAGGCCTTCGGAGAAGCATTCTAAGCCTTCTCCGACAGAAAAGCTTCTCAGAAGGCGCGAGGGTTTCTGAGAAGTCCCGCCGCCTTCTGAGAAGGCCTTCTCCTTCTTACTTCCCCCCCTCGCTCGCCGCCGAGAATATCACCGCGTACGGCGTAGTCCTTCATCAGCTTCTCGATGCGCTGGAGCGTCGGCTTCCTGAAGATGCCTCGTCGCCCCTCGCGCACTGCATCCGACACCCAGGTTTCGCGCGCGACCGTCTCGACCACCTCCTTGCTTTCGTTATCGTTTCACCGATCCCTATCCCCATCTCCATCCCCTTCGAGACCCCCACCGAATTACCACCCCAGTTGGGAATACAACCCTCGAAACCCGAAGAGAAATACCTATATCCCCATCTAGGGGGGTAAATCTGCCAGCGGGGCCCAGGCCACGCCGCTGGGGATGGGGATCGGTTAAACGATACTCATGCTCTCGTGGTCGCTGTGGTACGTGATGTTCGCCAGCACGACCTCCTCGGTCGCGGCCGGCTCGTCGATCCTGAACTTCAGAAAGGGGGGGGGTCATCGAGGTATTTCCCGTAGTCGTGGTCGAAGATATCGAGGCCTGTGTGTCCTTTGGGTGTCCTTATCAGCTCCTTGTCGTACACGCCCAGGTCCTCGACGCATATAGAGGTTCGTCTTCCACTCCTCCATGGAGTCACGACCAGTGAGACCAATCACCTTACCCGTGATCGCGTAGTACTTGTGGATCCGATGCTTCTCGCAGATTCCGATCGGGACGAGTTACGCTGCTCCTTGGCATGCCGCTTGGCGTCTTCCAAGCCTTTGAACTTCTGGTCGGCCTCGATCGTCAGGGGACGTAGGCTATACCGTCGGAGTTCGGCTGCTATCTTAGCTAGCCAGTCCAGGCCTGCTGCGCCTGTGCCAGCTCCAGAATCCATCAGTGAGTGCGGTCGGACTCGCCGAACATGATCTCCTCGACTTGTGGTATCTCGATCTCGGTGGTCATGTAGATTTCCACGCTTGTCTCGAGCTCGCTCGCGAATCCAGCACGTGGCGATGCTGAACGTGGGAGGCCTGGGCCAACCACAGGATTTGCGGTCGTACCCCGAGGGTCCGCATACTGGATGGTGATCGTGCTGCTGTTGTCCGTCTGCTGCCAGCCGCTAATCCCAACGAACATTCCGATCACGCACATGCCAAGATTAGTGTCCCTTGGGCCACCTTTGCTTCGTCCTGACGCTGTCGGTCTTCTCCAGGTTTGATCGTGTTACCTCGATTGATGTACAGACCGCCGCCATGGATTATGCTCCGCGCGTCTGAAGTTGCATCTCCTGATAAAATGCGTCGTACGTTCGCGGTAGCTCTCGGAAGTCCGACTTGCTGAACCCTGACTGCTCCAGGACAGTGATGAGCTTCTTTGCTCCGTCCTCATCGGCAAATTCTGCTAGATCTCCCTGCGCAGTGATTACTGATATGCTGTTGTTCAGGTCCAGCAGGTTCTGGTATAATCTGGGGCCCAGCCATCAGCATGCTGGCCTCCGCTGCGCGCGTGTGCCTGGTAACATCCTTCAAACTGTCGCCGGTCAGCGATGCGACGTCTGGGTCCACGCTTGCTGCGCAGTCCATCTTATCTTAGTCCGTGGGGTTGGCCAGCCCCCATGAATATGAAAAGAGACAAGATGGGTCAACCACTTGCTCCGCTACCAACCTCGATACCCGTGGAGCTCCACAGGAAACCAGGGGGATCCCAGGGGTCCGAGAGGATCTTAATGCCGTTGCCGTCGTCGCCGTCCTGTTTTTACCGCCGCCGACAACGGAGCGCAGAGGAGAGGACACTATTGGTCACCAGGGCTCAAGGTACCTGAAACGGTTTGAGCATAAATGTCCACATCATGCATCATGAGCTGTGCGTGTACACATCTGTATACGCAAACACTTCTAACCATAACCACTATTCCAGTACGGCTACGATTGGTGGTATTCGTGCTGCGGCTATTCTAACTGGCACTATGGGTCGTACTGTGTCCATGTCTAGCACTTCGTACGACGTACAACGTATTACGTACTGATATGGTTAAACGTACCACTGGCTCAACATTAACATCCGCCGCTCTGCGGTTGATCGGGAGTTTCTGTATATATAGAAGAAGGGGCGCGCGCTTCTGGGCGAGAGGGAAACGACCGAGAGAAGAAGGGGCGGCCGCCCCACAGGACCTCTCCATGGTGCCGGAAGCCCATCAGGGCTCCCACAGGGCCCCTCCCCCAGGGCCGGGGCTCCCTCGCCTGCCCTCCTCCTCCTCCTCCTCCTCCTCCTCCTCCTCCTCCTCCTCCTCCTCCTCCTCCTCCTCCTCCTTCGCCCCCGTCGGCATATCCAGGCGTGTTATGCAGTCAGGTCGTCCGTCCGGAAACGGTGCCGGAGGCCGCTCTGGGCTCCTCTGGGCATCCCCCCCGGGGCCCGTTTTGTGAGGATGTCTCAGGCGAGGGCGCCGGTTTGGGATTCGTCACCGGATCCAGCGGATCCAGCGGATCCGTCCGGAAACGGTGCCGGAGGCCGCTCTGGGCTCCTCTGGGCATCCCCCCCGGGGCCCGTTTTGTGAGGATGTCTCAGGCGAGGGCGCCGGTTTGGGATTCGTCACCGGATCCAGCGGATCCAGCGGATCCGTCCGGAAACGGTGCCGGAGGCCGCTCTGGGCTCCTCTGGGCATCCCCCCCGGGGCCCGTTTTGTGAGGATGTCTCAGGCGAGGGCGCCGGTTTGGGATTCGTCACAGCGGATCCAGCGGATCCAGCGGATCCGTCCGGAAACGGTGCCGGAGGCCGCTCTGGGCTCCTCTGGGCATCCCCCCCGGGGCCCGTTTTGTGAGGATGTCTCAGGCGAGGGCGCCGGTTTGGGATTCGTCACCGGATCCAGCGGATCCAGCGGATCCGTCCGGAAACGGTGCCGGAGGCCGCTCTGGGCTCCTCTGGGCATCCCCCCCGGGGCCCGTTTTGTGAGGATGTCTCAGGCGAGGGCGCCGGTTTGGGATTCGTCACCGGATCCAGCGGATCCAGCGGATCCGTCCGGAAACGGTGCCGGAGGCCGCTCTGGGCTCCTCTGGGCATCCCCCCCGGGGCCCGTTTTGTGAGGATGTCTCAGGCGAGGGCGCCGGTTTGGGATTCGTCACCGGATCCAGCGGATCCAGCGGATCCGTCCGGAAACGGTGCCGGAGGCCGCTCTGGGCTCCTCTGGGCATCCCCCCCGGGGCCCGTTTTGTGAGGATGTCTCAGGCGAGGGCGCCGGTTTGGGATTCGTCACCGGATCCAGCGGATCCAGCGGATCCAGCGGATCCGTCCGGAAACGGTGCCGGAGGCCGCTCTGGGCTCCTCTGGGCATCTCCCCGGGGCCCGTTTTGTGAGGATGTCTCAGGCGAGGGCGCCGGTTTGGGATTCGTCACCGGATCCAGCGGATCCAGCGGATCCGTCCGGAAACGGTGCCGGAGGCCGCTCTGGGCTCCTCTGGGCATCCCCCCCGGGGCCCGTTTTGTGAGGATGTCTCAGGCGAGGGCGCCGGTTTGGGATTCGTCACCGGATCCAGCGGATCCAGCGGATCCGTCCGGAAACGGTGCCGGAGGCCGCTCTGGGCTCCTCTGGGCATCCCCCCCGGGGCCCGTTTTGTGAGGATGTCTCAGGCGAGGGCGCCGGTTTGGGATTCGTCACCGGATCCAGCGGATCCAGCGGATCCGTCCGGAAACGGTGCCGGAGGCCGCTCTGGGCTCCTCTGGGCATCCCCCCCGGGGCCCGTTTTGTGAGGATGTCTCAGGCGAGGGCGCCGGTTTGGGATTCGTCACCGGATCCAGCGGATCCAGCGGATCCAGCGGATCCGTCCGGAAACGGTGCCGGAGGCCGCTCTGGGCTCCTCTGGGCATCCCCCCCGGGGCCCGTTTTGTGAGGATGTCTCAGGCGAGGGCGCCGGTTTGGGATTCGTCACCGGATCCAGCCAGCGGATCCGTCCGGAAACGGTGCCGGAGGCCGCTCTGGGCTCCTCTGGGCACCCCCCGGGGCCCGTTTTGTGAGGATGTCTCAGGCGAGGGCGCCGGTTTGGATTCGCACCGGATCCAGCGATCCAGCGGATCCGTCCGGAAACGGTGCCGGAGGCCGCTCTGGGCTCCTCTGGGCATCCCCCCCGGGGCCCGTTTTGTGAGGATGTCTCAGGCGAGGGCGCCGGTTTGGGATTCGTCGGATCCAGCGGATCCAGCGGATCCAGCGGATCCGTCCGGAAACGGTGCCGGAGGCCGCTCTGGGCTCCTCTGGGCATCCCCCCCGGGGCCCGTTTTGTGAGGATGTCTCAGGCGAGGGCGCCGGTTTGGGATTCGTCATCCCGGATCCAGCGGATCCAGCGGATCCGTCCGGAAACGGTGCCGGAGGCCGCTCTGGGCTCCTCTGGGCATCCCCCCCGGGGCCCGTTTTGTGAGGATGTCTCAGGCGAGGGCGCCGGTTTGGGATTCGTCACCGGATCCAGCGGATCCAGCGGATCCGTCCGGAAACGGTGCCGGAGGCCGCTCTGGGCTCGTGCTCTTCGCGCCGGGGGTGAGGATGACGTGAGTTCCACAGAAACTCCCTCAAACTACAGCACATACTACTACTGTCGCCACTAGTACTACAGCTACGATTACGTCGACTACTCCTAAAATTAGTCCGTCTAGTAATGCTACGACTACGACGACGACGTCGACGACGACGACTACGACCACTAACCTTACTACTAGCTCTGCACTACTACCACTACTACTACTGCTACTACTACTACTACTGCTACTACTACTACTACTACTACTACTACTACTACTACTACTACTACTACTACTACTACTACTACTACTACTACTACTACTACTACTACTACTACTACTACTACTACTACTACTACTACTACTACTACTACTACTACTACCATTACCACTGCTATTACTATCACTAGTGCTCTACTGAGTATTACTAGTTCTACTTCCAATACTACTGCTATTACGACTACTACTACTACTACTACTACACTACTACTACTACTACTACTACTACTACTACTACTACTACTACTACTACTACTACTACTACTACTACTACGACTACTACTACTACTACTACTACTGCTACTGCTACTATTAGTAGTACCACTACTATTTTTTTTATTTTGCTACTACTACTACGACTACGACTGCGATTTCTACTATTCCCACTGCAACTGCTAGTACTAATTCTAGTACTACTACTCTTATTTTTACTACCACTGCTGTCACTACGACTACTACTGCTACTACTACTACTGCTACTACGGCTACTCCTAATACTGATGCTACATCTTGTGCTGCTGCTTGTGCTGCTATCTCTGCGGTTACTGGTGTCACCAGTACTACCAGGACTACTGCTCCGACTAGCAGTGCTATCACGACTCCTGCTTGCGCCACTACACTACGACTGCACATGCTACTACTACTGTCGCCGCTAGTACTACAGCTTGGAATACATCGGCTACCCCTAACAGTAGTCCTTCTAGTTATACTACGACGACGGCGACGGCGACAGCGACTACGACTATTACCCCTACTACTAGCACTATTTCTATTACTACTACTACTACTACTACTACTACTACTACTACTACTACTACTACTACTACTACTACTACTATTACCACTGCTACTACTACTGCTACGACTACTAATGCTACTAGTGTTGCTGGTGCGACTCGCACTTTCACTACTATGGCTACTACTATCATTCCGATTGCTGCTGCTACTACTACTACTACTACTACTACTACTACTACTACTACTACTACTACTACTACGACTACTACGACTACGACTACTACCCTTACTACTACTACTACTACTACTACTACTACTACTACTACTACTACTACTACTACTATTACTACTACTACTACTACTACAACTACAACTACTACTACGATTCTCACTAATATTGCGGGTGCTACTCCCACTTCCACTACGATCACGACCTGCCACTACTACTGTTACTAGCACGACTACTACTTCTATTACTGCTAATACTGCTACTACTACTACTTCTACTGCTACTACTATTACTACTGCTACAACCACAACCACTATCACTACTAGTACTATCTCTACAACTACGACTACGACTATTATTACTACGACTACGACTACGACGACCACTACGACTACGACTACTACGACTACGACTACTGCTACTACTACTACTACTACTACTACTACTGCTACTGCAACAACAACAAGTACTACTACTACTACTACTACTACTACTACTACTACTGCTACTACTACTACTACTACTGCTACTACTACTACTACTACTACTACTACTACTACTACTACTACTACTACTACTACTACTACTACTACTACTACTACTGATGCTACTGTTTGTGCTACGACCACTACTACTGCTGCTGCTGCTGCTGCTACTACTACTACTACTATTACTACTACTACTATCACTACTATTTCCATTACTACGTTTACTGCTACTCATGCTGCCATCTCTGCTGCGACTGCGATCACCAGTGCTACCAGTACTACTGCTTCGACTAGCAGCGCTACCACGACTCCTGCTTGTGCTACTACACTACTACTGCCCTCACTTT